CTCCAATTGCCAGCCAGAAGGGCACCCGGACCAGTGTATTTTGTACGGAGAACCGCCAGCCAGGCGCCCACAAAGGAGCGGGGCAAAGTAGCCGTGCGGACCCAAAGAACCGCACCCGCCAAAACAGCCATGCTGGCGACCCATGGGGCTCCTCCACCTGGGAATCTCCTGGTCCGTGGGCAATAAAAATGGGATGTCCACTCGCCCTCTGCGCTTTCACTGGGAGCCGCAACTCCGAGCTGTTCCTAAACAGCCATCTTGGATCTTCCCCTCAAGGATTCTTAAAAGCCAAAAGAACATTTATTCTATCTTAATAAATGAAATCTCATAAACATATAAGTAGCAATAGGACTTGTAATTTAATTGTGTCCTAAATATTTCATTGGTAGGAAGAAAACAAACAAACAAAAACCTTTCCCAAATTCATACAAGTAAAATGATATTAGGAATACATTAAAATGTCTCTTCTTAGGATTGATTCTTTCCCTCTTTCTTTGTTTCTCTCTCTCTCTCTTTCTTTTCTTCTTTCCTTCCTTTCTATCTTCTCCTCCTCCTCCTCCTCTCTTTCTTTCTTTCTTTCTTTCTTTCTTTCTTTCTTTCTTTCTTTCTTTCTTTCTTTCTTTCTTTCTTTCTTTTTTTTTCTATATGGTCTCATCATGTTGCCCAGGCTGCTGTCAAACACATGTCCTCCAGCAATTTCCCCTCGTCGGCCTCCCAAAATGCTGGGATTATAGGTGTGAGCCATGCACCCAGCCTTAAGATTGGTTCTTGACTGACTTTTGAACTTTAAAACAGGATCCATCTAATTTTCTCATTCTTGCAAGTCACTCACTCTTCATATTTTGCCTAGTTGGGTACACATATTATTTCTCAGGGTGCTCTATTTATTGCTTACCTCTCCCTAGGGGAAGGCTGGTAGTTCAGCTGTTCTGATCATTTCTCACTTATATCTTAAGACACAAATGCTTCTATTAAGTAGACCTCCCAAATCAAGCAGGAGAAGGAGCTGATGCCTCCCCTTCTTCCCTAACTGCAGGTTTCCATCATCATAGCCTGAAAAAGCAGTCATAGCCTGGGAAAGCAGTACTTATGGAGGAAATTAAAGCTCTACTCAGAACCAAGAACATTTCCCAGGTCAGCTGCAAAGAAGAAAGATGGAAGCCCTTTGAGAAGACTCCCAGATTTGTAACCTGGGAGGATGCAGGATGTAGGCATGAGTTGTTCTGGGAGGGGAACCTGGAGATGGGAAGATACTAGGTTGTGCAGCCCTATGATGGAACAGCCTCATGCAATGGGAGTTTTTCCTTCAGCAAGTCGACATGTTGGAGGTTTGGATCTCATTCTTGGACCAGAGTTGCTTGGCTCTGACTTTGGAAGAATAATTGATAGGGCTAGGAGGGACTAGAGACCATGATCTCCTTTTCCTAGCACCTCAAAGCCCTCCTACAGGCAAAAATTCTACTCGTAACATTTACTTGACTTAATTAGTAGCATCTATATTTATTGAAAGGCAATCAAGAGGCCTTCTGCATAATAATACAGTAGTATTAAAAATAAAAAAGTAGAAAGGCCAATGTATTTGGAGAACTGAGCCCTGTACTCATCTTTTACATAGATTCCCTTATTTTTTACTTTTATTTTATTTTTTTTTTTTGAGATAAAGTCTCAGGCTGCCCAGGCTGGAGTGCAGTGGTGTTAACTTGGCTCACTGCAGCCTCCACCTCCCAGGTTCAAGTGATTCTCCTGCCTCAGCTTCCTAAGTAGCTGGGATTACAGGCACCTGCCACCACACCCAGCTAATTTTTGTATTTTTAGTAGAGACGGAGTTCCAACATGTTGGCCAGGGTGGTCTTGAACTCCTGACTTCAAGTGATCTGCCTGCCTCAGCCTCCCAAAGTGCTGGAACTACAGGCATGAGCCACGATGCCTGGCCAGATTCCTTTATTTTAATCCTCACAGCAGCCCTATAAATTTAGTCATACAATCAATTCAAATTGATGAGGAAACTCAGGTTTAGAGAAATTAAATAATCCCTTCATGGTCACATAGCAAAAAGCAGAGTCAGGATTTGAAACCAAGTGACTGACTTTGATGATGAGGCTTTTTACCACCACTCTTACGAACATTAATGACAAACCTGGATATTTTGAAATAAGGATGAGCAAAGTTAAAGTTGCTTTTATATGTTAAATACTCCTTCCTATTATTTTACATATTAATATATTTGGTTTAAAATGTATGTTTTACTTATATTGACAGAGCTCATGTCTATGAGAGATACTGTAAACTCCATTCACAGGCATGTAATGTTTTTGCCTTTAAGTGAGTGATGTACTCATCTAGACATTGAAATATAAACAACCAATCAACTAGAATGTTTATCCTTCAGTGCTCCAAAGATTATTCTACTTGTGACTATAATTCTGTGCTCAGTTTATAACATTCTTACAGAGATGTCAGGATGTGTGTGTGCGTGAGTGTGTTTATTATGAATAATATGATTTCCTTGTGGGTGTGAATTTCATCCTCTCTGTGATTTCTGTGCCCTAACCATATTGCTAGGCAACACCAAGCAACACACATCCCACATTTTCCTAATTCCTTTTGATGTTTCACAAATGGACCTTTGCTTTTATCTGCAAGCAGAATAACACCAGTGGGTTTAGAATTTTGGCTTTTTAAATAATCAGGTGTCTGTTGAGATCAAAGCTAAGTGACCATAACTATCAGAAACTGGCAGAAAAAAGGAAAAGCTGGCATGAAGTAAATGCACATATTTGTTTTAAGACTTTGGCTGATGATTCATTAGTGAAGTCTAATTTCTACCATTCTGACTTTGTAGATGACATCAAGGACAGTGAGTAGGTTGGCTTCCCTCCAATGACTTAAAGTCCTCCTAGGGCTTGGAGGGTAATTGCATATGAAATACTCTTTCTGATACTGGTGATGTTACACACATATCATTTGCCAAATGAAAATCAGGTGCCCATCTTCTCTGTCAAAATAGAAACCAATATTTTCAGGTCAAGATCCAGAATCTAGCAGGTGTAATGCACAGACCTCACATCACCAGCTAAAGTACATGTATAGTTGTCCTGCCTTCCATGTCTAGGGAAAGGTCAGAGAGAGGCTTCAGTGGGCACAGAGAATGCCAGGACTGGACCTACAGCGGACAAGAGCTCAGCACTTCGTCACTACAAAAAAGATCATTTGGTTTTTCCCCATCCACTCATGCCAAGCCGCAGAGAACCACAGGAGGCAAGATTGACGAGTTTCCACACTGCTGACTGACATTATTTGAGAATTCGTGCTGCCCAAGTCAGAAAGCCCCATGATGGCACTGTAAACTAACACTCAACCTGTGAAAGCAAATATGTTATGATACCTTACTTGCAGCCTTGGGGAAAAGAATATTTTGCCAGATGGGAGAGGAAACGGAAATGGGGCCACTGGTAAGAAATGCACTTGTGGGAAAATATGATTGTATTAGTTATCTATGGCTGTATGATGAGTCTCCTGCACTTCCCCTCCTCCAAAAAAAAAAAAACGCTGTTATCAGTTTAAAACAATAATAAGCGTTTACTACTTCACTCAGTTTCAATGGGTCAGGAATGGAGGTTTGACGCAGCTTGGTGGTCCTGTCTCAGGATCTCTTACAGTCCAGAGGTCAGCCATGGCTGCAGTCGTCTGAACGCTTGCCGGGGACTGGAGGAGCCACTTTCCACAGGGTTTACTCATGTAACTGGCAAGTCAGCACTGGTGATTGGCAGGAGGATTCAGTTGCTCACCATGTGACCCCCAAGCATCCTTATAACATGGCAGCTGGCTTCCCCAGAGCAGACAAGCCCAGAGAGAACAAGACAGAAGCCACAATATCTTTGACAGCCTAGTGTTGGAAGCTACACTCCATCATTCCCACAATATCCTATAGGTTCTATAGGTCAGCCCTACTCAGTGTGGGAGGAGAGTACATAAGGGCATGAATACCAGGAGGGGAGAATCACCAGGGGCTCTCTTGAAGGCCAGCTACAATAATGATGGGGATGTTTCTGTGCATACAACACTAAGAAGAAATTCATATATTGGTTGACTCTGTCATGGATCTCAATGCAAGCTGCAAGCCAGTGCCTGCATCAGAATCATCTGGGGTATTTTTTAAAGCACTGGTTTCCCTGGACCCTTCCCTGGATATTCTGATTAAGTTAAGGATGACGCCCGGGTTTGGGAACTACTGGATTAGATGATCTCTAAGGTCAAGTCTGACTTTAACAGTGTTTCCCAAACTTAGCTGATTATAGATGTTATCCAGGGAGCTTATTAAAAATACAGATTTTTGGCCGGCACGGTGGCTCACACCTGTAATCCCAGCACTTTGGGAGGCCGAGGTGGGTGGATCACGAGGTCAAGAGATCGAGACCATCCTGGTCAACATGGTGAAACCCCGTCTCTACTAAAAAATACAAAAAATTAGCTGGGCATGGTGGCACGTGCCTGTAATCCCAGCTACTAAGGAGGCTGAGGCAGGAGAATTGCTTCAACCCAGGAGGCGGAGGTTGCGGTGAGCCGAGATCACGCCATTGCACTCCAGCCTGGGTAACGAGCAAAACTCTGTCTCAAAACAAAAAAACAAAAAAACAAAAAAACACAGATTTTTTAGGCCCCACCTCCAGCTTCATGAATCAGAACATCCAGGGATGGGCCTGAAAATCTGTGTATTTACTTGTTTATTTATCAACTTAATTATTTACTTATTTAAGAGATCAAGTCTTGCCAAGCTGGAGTGCACCATCATAGCTTACTGCAGCCTTGAATTCCTGGGCCCAAGAGATCCTCCCATCCTAGCCTCCTGAATAACTGGGATTACAGGCATGTGTCACCACACCTGGCTAATTTTAAAAATTTTGTTGTTGTTGTTGTTGAGATGGAGCCTTGCTATGTTGCCCAAGCTGGTCTTGAACTCTTGGGCTCAAGTGATCCTCCATCCTTGGCCTCCAAAAAGCACTGGGATTACAGGCATAAACAATTGTGCCCAGCCTGATTTTGTTTACTTTTTAATTTTTTTTTTTTTTAACCAGGTCATACGTTCAAAATGTTGGGAAATTTCAAAAGGTATAAAAGCGTCATTATAAAGTCTCTTTCTCAACTTTGTTCTTCTAGAATCCCAATTCACCAGCCTGGAGGTGCTTAATGTTGCTGGTTTCTTATGTATTCCTCCACCAATATATGAAAACATAAGACATAGAAAGTAAATATATTTATTTTAAATGAGACAGAGAGAGAGAGAGAGAGAGGAAGGGAGAGAGAATTTTTTTAAACCCAAGGCAAATCAAAAGGGTATGCAGTGGAAAACAAGTTTATTCCTGGTGTGATCATCAGTTTTCTCTTCAGATTCACTCTTACCAATTTCCTGTGTGTCTCTTTAAGAGATAGGACACTGTTAGTTTGTTAAGCGATTCAGGTGATTCTTATAATCTTGTGTTTGGGATACCCCAGTTCTATAATATAAATTAGAGACTGAAACAGCTGGAAAACCTCACTTGGTTACACATGAGTTGCATGAAATGCGTTACTCAGATTCTGGATGTCTTAGTTACATTTGTTCATGTAATCATTATTTACCAAATAACCATTATTTGCCAGGCCCAGTCAATGATGAGCAATGAACCTAGCTCACGAGAGCTTGCAGTCTTCACACAGGAAATAGCCACCTGCACCTGTAAAGGTCCGCACAGGACGCTGCAGAAGCTCCTTGGCAGCAGAACTGAGTGGAGGCTTCTGGAAGGAAGGGATTTCCACTGAGGTAAAAATGATGAGGATGTGGGGCTCGTTGGGCAAATGGAGAGGACGATATTTCTGGCAGAGAAAAAAGGACCAATACAAAGTTGCCAAGTTTTGATCTGATATGCTGCTCTCAGGCAACCAAAAATTACAGCATTTTGGTGTTTGTGTGCAGAAGAGGCTCAAGATAAAATGAAGGAGGTAAACTGAGGTCAAAATAACATGGGGAAAACAATGGCTCTGAGTGTAGGATATTAAGTTTGGGAATGATATGATGAGGGTGGGGGAAAAATTGATGTGAGTGTAAAAAAATAGACTAGAAGGGGGCTGGGCCTGGTGGTTCATGCTTGTAGTCCCAGCACTTTGGAAGGCCAAGGTGGGAGGACCACTTGAGTTCCGGGGTTTGAAATGAGACTGGGCAACAAGGCAAGACCTCGTCTTTACTAAAAACAAAGATTAGGCATTGCGGCACACACATGTAGTCCAGCTACTCAGGAGGCAGGAGGATCGCTGGAGCCTTGGAGGCTGAGGATGAAGTGACCAGTGTTTGCTACACTGCACTCCAGGCTGGGGGAAAGAGTGAGACCGGTCTCAAAAAAAAAAAAAAAAAAAAAAAAAAAAAAGCACTAGAAAGAAGTAATAACAACTTAGAGGTGGGGAGATAATTTAGGAAGTTGTTATAAAAATCCAAGAAAGAGACCAGAATGGCCTGGATGACGTGGCTATTGTGGGGATGCACAAAACTGGAAACACGCTGAGGTTATTAAAGAGGTAGATTCACCTGGAGTTGGTGATTGATTGAAAGGGGCTGTAAGTGGGACATTCCCAAATTTCCATTACGGGCAGCCAGCTGCAGTTCAATAGGTAGCGCCTGTGGGGAAAGGGCTTGGGGAGGAGACGTGGGAGGGGGAAAGGTAAGTCTTACATTCTGAGTTTGAGAAAGAGAGAATACCTGTAAATTACAGTGTAGAGTTTGACAGAAAAATAAGAGCCTGTTTGTGACAGTCCATGGCAGGACAGGCATCTTCTAATTTCTCATTAAACCTTATTTAGTTTGCATCTCTGCCCCCATCCGCATACTCTCTCTCCCGCCATAAATCAGGCTGGCACTGATGGTCCCATCAGCCATCACCATGGGTAGGAGTGGAAAGGGTGAATGAAGGTCCTGCCCTCCAAGCAGCTGCGTTCACAAAATTCCAAAGCTGGCCAATAGTGAATTAGGTTCTGTAAAAAGATAGTATATATATATTTTTTTTTCTGAGGCAGGTTCTCACTATATTGCCCAGGTTGGTCAAAGATAATATACTCAAGATGGTTATAAACAGTTCCATGTTTCCCTGAATCACAAAGCAGACTCTGAATTCACTTCCCTTATTGATTGATTCTAGGTACCGATGAGACCTCTTTAGTATTACACTGGCAACCGATTGCCCTGAGGATATGTTTGGAATAAGGTAAGCCTGCAGCCACGGCTTTTTTGTCTTTTGGAGTTTTGGCCAGAATGAACAGAGCTTATGCAAAGTACATAATTGAAAATACCTTTGTTTTGTGCCTTGAGCAACCGCCAGAGGACTTTTAAACTGTGATGGTGACTAACAAAATAAGACCTTTGCTATTGTGCTGAGAAATGTGAAGAATTTTATCCATTCTTTCGTTCTTGCTAAATGGTGCATTGTATGCTATCTGTGTGGTTTGGGTCTAGGACAGATTTCTCTCTGAACTTCACAGCATGGGTGGAAGAGAGTAATTTGGCCTTTCGTTTTCCCTGGCAGCCGGTGCCAGTCCATTTATATGGTATGTTCACAGGAGAGCTGACAAGTGTTGAGAGGTTTTATTTGATATGCGTTTTTTTTTAAGTAGAAAAAAATCCGTAAAAATAGGTACTTGTTAGCTAGTTTTCCTGGTTAGTCTTCAGATCATAACCAAATGTTTCATTAAGGACTTCCACCCCAAATAGACTAGCTACATTGAAACATTCAGGCTGTGTTTAATATTCACAATGTAACCATTCATGGCATGGGCAGTTTTTAATGATAGAAATGCAAACCCACATTATTTTTCTGTGTAACTTGTAAAAGCCGTGCCTTCTAAAATGGGGCTGCTTATGCTAATTTGTTATAGTTAGTGAATTGCAGGCAGCTCTGTGAATTTACTTTTCTTGGCAGTTCTAGAATATCCTGCCATAACACATACTGAAAAACTGTTTGATGGGTTATGAAAATCTGGATGTACTAAAGGTACATCTTGTGCAAACCATAAAATAAATAGATGATTACATTTTTAAAAATCTGTTATCAGGTTAAGGAAGTTGTCATTTAACAACCCAAGGAAAATTAAGCAGTTTTGAATGGATGCTATATTTTTTCTACTTGTACATACTGTAAACACTTTCAGTATCCAACCCTTGCTCTGTTTTTCTGGTCTTTCTGAAAAGACTGCCTATTGGAGGTAAACTGTATTTCATAGAGGGCATATAGAACCTATCTTGGAAGTGGATGACACCTCGTTGCAAAGGTTAATTTTCTCAGTAAAGCATAGAAAGCACTAGTTGACAGAAGTATTGGATACAATATGTATTTTGGAATTCTTATTATTTTTAGTCAAGCCAGCAATGTTGGCCTTAAAGGATGTTGATTATGGTGTCTGTCACTATTAGTGTTGCCAGTGATGTGTGATTGCTTTGTTCATGATAAATGAATTAAGTAGATAATTTGGTTCTTTGCTGTGTTAGCTATACCAAACCAACTCCTTTGAAACAGTCTAATCTCGGGGAGCTTGTAATTTTAATAGATGTTAAGAAGAAAAAAAGGCAATTTCTTTGTTCAACAAATACACTGTATATTGAGAATTTACTGTGTACAAGACAATTCATTATACTTCTTGGGGCATAGGACTATATAGTGAATAGGAGAGATTTGGTTCCTATCCTTGAATTCTACCAGAAGAAAAACATGAAACAAATTATACAGTTATTTAATAATTATGTGAAGTGTTGCAAAATATATCTACAGGGTAGGTTGAGGATCTGTAATGAATGACGTGAAAGAGCAAACTTTTTAAAAGGGAACTCCTGAAGGTTAAATTGTGTCTTCGATGAACTAGAATAAAACCATGTCAAAGAAAAAAGAGTTCTTGCTAAGTACAAAGTGAATAAAGAGTCAGAATATCTCTAAATAAATATGGTGTTTGGTGAGAATCTTACACAGTCAGGAAAATATCCTTGCATGCACTGAAGACATCTTACCACTTGAAGGAATGATTTTTCATCCTAGGATAAAAGTAGGATTTTATATTCCACTTAAAGAGGAAAAATAGATAAGAAATGCAGATGGCCAATTAACTTCTTTAGTAGAACTTCATGCACGTGATAAAGAATGAAACTTTAACAAAAAAACCTTAACATGTTTATATACTCGTAAGACTTCAAATTGATTAAAATTCTTCAGTGACAAGGTTAGGGTCCTTGATCATTAAATGTTCTCATATATTTCTATGCAACATAGAAAGGTTAAATTTGAAATAGAAGTAGAAAGAGTTATACAAAGAAAGTCTAAATTGAGTAAGAAGAATATGATTAAGATAATTTTTGTAACCTACTCTTTCAATAATGAATTTCAACCAAACCTAATTAATCTTACATTTCTAGCACAACATATAATTTTAGAGAACTTGTCATTAAAGATACATATAATCAGAAGTAAACTAAATATAATCATCTACTAGGTTTAGGTAAAAATAATGCTTTTGATTTAATTTTTGGACAGGTAATATGCATATTATTGAAATAAATTTTAAAATTTCAGAATTGTTTCATAACCGTGTTCTCCATCTACCTAGTTCCCACCTACCCTACACTCAGACAGCCGCACACATAACATTCTTTTCTTTTTTCTTTTCTTTTTTTGAGGTAGGGTCCCACTCTGTTGTCCAGGCTGGAGTGCAATAGCACTATCATGGCTCATTGTAGCCTCAACCTCCCAGGCTCAAGTGATCCTTCCACCTCAGCCTCCTGAGTAGCTGAAACTACAGGCTCACACCACCACGCCCAGCTAATTTTTTCTTTTTTTTTTTTTTTAAGAGACAGGGTCTTACTGTATTGCCTAGGCTGGTCTCAAACTCCTGGGCTCAAGCCATCCTCCCCTGGTTGGCCTCTCAAAGTGCTGGGGTTATAGGTGTTAGCCACCACACCTGGCCCTGATGTCATTATGTGCCCATGTAAGGATAGTTTGTTTAACATATACCAACAAATTTTTCTTTCCTAGGAAGTATTGGGTTGATACAAGTCTTAATGTAGTTTTTCTTGTCTCTTTTTATGCAAAAGGTAGCATACTGCAGACACTGTTGTGACATTGCTTTTCTTTCCCCCACTTAACATTATTTGTTTCTTGGAGATCTTTTTAAATCAGTGCATGGACCCTTTCCCTTTCTCCTTACTTACAGCTGTGTAGTATTCCAGTATATGGAGCTACTATAATTTACTTAACTAGTCTCCATTTGATGAATATTAGTGTTGTTTCCAATAAACATTTCTGTAGTGAATAATCTTATGTAGGGTCATTTCACAAATATATCTATGGAGATAGAATTGATAGCCAAAGGAATAATTAGTAATTTTGGTAGATATTGCCAAAATGCCCTACATAAAGTTTATAGTAACATGCATTTAACAGTAATACATAAAATATTTATTTTCTCTTTGATGTTATCAAACTTTAGTCTTTCATTTGTGTGAATGAATGAAGAAAAATGATATCTAATTTTTCCCACTGTTTTTCTGTTTTACGATTTTCTACTGGGCTGTTTGTGTTTTTCTTTTCAACTTAGACTCTTTTGTATTAGGAAGATAAGACCTTTATTAGTAGTATGAATTACAAATATTTTTATCTTGTCATTTGACTTGCTTATGGTGACTTTTGCCACAGAAGTTTTATTTTTATGTACCTGAATTTACCAATATTTTCTTTTATGGCTTTTGGATTTGACTCATAGTTTAAAAGGTCTACCGTATTCAAGGTCATTAAGAAAGTATCCTGTTTTTCTCCTGGAGCTTGGGTAGTTTTTGGTGTTTACCTTGACATCTTTTATTCATTTGAAATTTGTCCTGGTATAAGATCGGTTTTCCCCTAAAATGCTGCCCAGGTAGCTCAACATCAAATATTGAACTGTCCCTGTTTTCATTCCACTCTGATTTATAATGCAATTTTTATCCCATATATATATTTAGATCTATTTCTGAACTTTCTTTTTTTTTAACATACATATTTTTACATGTTCCAACTCTTAGAAATGTTCCATTCTGTTTCTGTTTTTAGGCTCCTTTTAGGTACCTGCCGTGCTTAATTTTTTATTTTAAACATGGTTTTTCCTGTTAACAAAGTTTGCATTAGTTGCTTCCTTGAGCAACACCTTTAGAAATCTAAATGTGTTTGAAATGATGTGAAAATATTATTCATATCAGAGCTCATTCTGCAAAAGCTGAAATCTTATGGAAAAAAAATCTATTTCATGCGAAATCCCCTAAATCCCAGGGAACCTCCATATACTCAGACCAAAAATATTTTTTGATCATACATAATGTATTTTAAAGGGATAAATGGATCAATTGGGCGAAGAGTTGAAAGAAAGTGTTTGAGCTCTGCTTCTGAATCTCCTAGTGTGATCGCTGAGACACTTAACCATAAGTTGCATTTATTGCAGGGCAGTTTTGCCACTTAAAAAGATACTTTTAATTGGAAAAAGCAAGCTGGTTATATAATTGTAATTGCAGGATTATAATGAAAATATCAGGCCAGCAGGTTTTACATAATCACATGCAAAGTCATGTGTGAGAGTAGAAACGGGGAAGGGCAGAGATATGTCTGATGATTTACTCTCTGTGGGGTGTACAAAGATTTCTGGTGCAGTTTAATCTGGAAGATTATATAGCTGAGAATAAGAGATCAAATCAATATCCTTGAGACACCAGAATCTCATGAGTCAGTTGCAAGCATCAGGCATGTAGCCTATACTTAATACTGGATAACTTGCTCATGTTTTATTTCTGACTTTCCTTAATCCAGCAAGGTCTGTTTGAAAAGCTTGGAATTAGTATTCGTTTAAACAGGGAAGCACTGGAACCAGCTGGCATTCTGTAAATGAAATCAATGGAACAGAAACTTGAAAATTTTTTCCCTTGATTATTTTGCTAGGTTGTCACTACAAATGGCCAAAATCCTAAATCAGCTCTTTCATTCTTCCCAAGGAAGTCATCAACACTAGCATTCTACAGTGTTTAATGAATTATTTTCCAAACATACATTAAGGTTACTGTAAACAAGGGTCTTTATAAGAATACTATGACTATTTGACATTTAGGTAAGAGTTCTGTAGTACTCTGGAAAAAAGAGAAAGCAACTTCAGTACTATCATAACCTGGCACAGAACTTAAGTCTTGGGTGAAGCTTACATATGAAATTGGAATTAAAAGAGAAATCAAAGTTACTCTTCAAGTTTTGGACAGGGTATTTCTATTCTTTAGAATATCGATCCTGAAATTAGAGTGAATACATCAAAAGTGCATGTTTAGTTTCTTCATTGGAAGCATAAGTTCATCCCCTGGGGAAAAATATCATTAATTGTATGTTGAATAGTTTTTGCCCATAAATAGCAATGTGTATAAAGGCAAATACATGAAGTCAAGATTAATTTTAAATGCTTCCTCAGTAAATGTATATCTCTTTATTAGTCATCTAAAAGAAGGGAAAAAGCATTACTGAGAAAATCTCCAAATTTGTTTTTTTAAAAGTTTATTAAATATGAGCATTGAGTTACTTTCTTGAATAACATGATTGACCCATGTGTGAATTTTTTTCTAAGAATAAAGGAATGGGTGAATCAAAGTTGGAACTAGAAGGCTGGACGATTTAAATGCTATGCTTATTTAAATATTCTATTATACTCTCAAAATAGTACATCATTGGGCTTGCCTGCACAATAGTGAAACAACCTACATGAGGTAACTTATAATAATGCTACAGTAACCGTGCAGTTGAGAAGTGAATAGATGGTTAGCATTGATGAATGAAGAAATAATTGGAGGCAGGGTGTGGTGGCTTATGCCTGTAATCCTAACACTTTAGGATGCTGAGGTGAGAAGGTCACGGGATCCCAGGAGTTCTAGGCCAGCCTGGGCAATATAGTGAGACCCCCATCTCTACCAAAAAAGCCCCGAAAAACAAAAGTCACTGGACTGATGGGGAAAGAGACAGAACAACTGTAAAGTTGCTAGCATGAGGAACAAGAATGAGTGCATGGATGGGTAGCAGGTGGTGATTCTGTGGCAAAGCAAAAGCAGGGATTATAATTTATTTCTGTTTATAACCATCAACGCCTAGTTTGGCTTTCATTGTTTGCTGATTTTGTTGCCTGGGCAGCATGAATCTCTCTGATTCCTTTTTAGTTGTTCTTCATGAAGCCTACATGTGAGAAATGAAAATTGAAAATGCATTTTTTAAAAAGGAAAATAAAACTGGTATAAAATCAAATTACTCTGGCCCATGTATAATAAAATATGATTGCATTAATCCTTTTTTCCTAATTATTTCATTCTAGGGTTTGTGGATTTTTTTTTTTAATTAATGAATTTACTAAGCACCTTTTATGCTTAAGGGAATGGCTTTGTCTCTAATTTTTCAGCAAATTATTTTTTGTGTGTGACAAAATGTAGGTTCGTTTGCATGTAACATTTAAGTGTATATTAAATTTCTAATATGACTCAGGTCACAAAATTTCAGAAATGAGAAAGACAACCTGAACTGTCAG